CCTCCTCATGCCCCCCGCTGCTGCCCCAGGAGCCCGGCCGCTCCTGACGCTGCCCCCCTGAGCGGGTCCCCCCTGACGCTGCCCACGCCGCTGCCCCCCCCCACCGGGCCCGCGCAGCCCAGGCCGCCCCCGGCGCCTCCGAGGGTGCGCCGGCGCCCGCGGGCTGGCCCGAGCAGAGGACGGGCGCGCTGAGCCTGGGCAGCAGGCAGGGAGGGAGGTGGGCAGGCGTCACCCTCTCCTGGTCACTCTCTCCCTCTCCCCTCTTGGCCTCGCTCCTCTCCCTCTCCCTCTCTCCCTCTCTCCCTCTCCCTCTCCCTCTCCCTCTCTCCATCTCCCTCTCCCTCTCCCTCTCCCTCTCCCCAGCCTGCCTTGAACTGCAGACAGAGAGATGTGTACAGATAGGTCGATAGATAGAGGAAGAGGAGGAATGTAGAGTAGCTGCTGATGCCCTTGAGGGTAGGTATTACCCTGTCGAGTCGGATGGGGCACATGGGCTCTCCCATCCTTGGAGCGGTGCTCGTGAAGGTTGCGATGACTCTGGACCCAGCGTCTGAACAGAGACGCATGTTGCGGTACTAGTGGATGGTATGTGCAGTCAGCATACCTCGAGACAGCCATCTCTATTCGACACCTGAGGTTCGACACGGGGGATTTCATGGTGACCCCTACTGCCGTCTACAGTACAAGTGAAAACGCGCGTTGCGCGTCTCGCCGCTCGCTCCATTGCAGCAAAGATCGCCATCCTGATAGTGACGGGAGTGGGCCAGTTCCTCGGGGGCGTCCAAGAGGGGGGCGTCCAAGAGGGGGGGCGCAAATCATGACCGGCGGCATGTGCGCGGCCCAGGGGGGGGCCGGGCACGCGATGAACTAAGAGGAGGCGCCATGAAATCTGGGGAGATGTCATGGCCCCCCCCCACGATATCCACACGCACCCCTAATCATCACCCCCCCTCTTGGCCGCCCCCGAGAGCGGACCCGCTCCTCGAGGCAGGGCGGGCACACGCTGGGCGGCAGGCCGGGGCGCCACCCATGGGAGGCGCCTGCGCTGCTGCCCTGCCCTGCCTGTCCCACCCCCGTCCCTTAGCCCACGCTCTGCGGAGCAGCCGCTTGGGCCAGCCGCGCCGGATTGGGGACGGGCCTTCATACAAGGGTGCAGTATTAGGTCGGGCATGTCCTCCTACAGGCGCAGCCTGGAAGAAAAATCGAAACAGCCAAACAATGTTCAAATAGGCAAGAATACTCGGAACTGCAAAGCAATCCTCCTCCCCCAAACTCTGATGATGGATGGGAGGGGATATATTTCTTGAGCCAAAATATGGCGACGGTGCAAGAACTCATTCTCTGTCTTCAGCCTGGCCCTGGGAATACCTGCTGGGGTACCCCTCTGACTTGTCATATATCCGAACACCTCTCCTCAGGCATGGAGCGGTGAAGGGCCGAAAAACTGCATCGCTACTTCCAGTCTCGGTGATCAATCCGAGATCTTCCGCAACGGCGTGCAAGCAGTCTCCAACAGCACCAAATGACTCTCCAGCACCTGCTTCGTGAGCAGGAGGCGTGGCTGCACAGAACAACTCAGACCAGCCTTGGAAAGAACGGCACGAACGCTCTCTAGGCGCTCTGCCTGCTCCACGGTAGGGCTCGCGCCAGCCGAGATGATCATCTCAATCAGGCGCTGCTTCCTCACGTAGCCCACCCCAAGGCCGATCTTGTTCGCACGAGCCATAGCTCGTAGGTCAGGCACTGTCAGCCTTGAAAGAACTAGCTGCACTCTCGCATCTCCGTCGCTTGCGGTCTGCTCAGGAGCTGCACTGTCATCAATCAGCGTCTCTGGACGCTCGTAGCAAACCGCAGTGGAGCACGCTCGGGCCCCAGCACAACAGCCTACTAGAAAAGACAGCAGCGCTATGCTCAAAGCCATCACGATCAGTAGCCAGGGCGCGCCTTTGGCGCCCGCCTCCGTCTCCTGGCCGCGCGCCGTCGGTAGCAGCGCGCTCACCACCACTGCTCCGAGCGGCACGAGCCGCAGGTTCATGGTCGCCATGTGCTTGTACAGGGTCTCTGCTTCCACATACTTCGTGAGGATGTCCGCGACCATCTCCGTGGTCGCCTCTTTGATCAACTCTAGCTGTCGCAGTCGGACGCGGTCCTGTAGCCAGAGGTACCGTAGCTCAAGGTGGCGCACCTTGCCCACGCCGTGGCGCTGGCAGATCCCTCTGCCTGCAGCACTGTCGCTGGCCACGACCAGGCGCACGGTGACGCCCACCTCTCCGAGGAAGTGCTTCGCCTGCAAACCCCGTGCGGCACCACTGCCGATGGCGTAGAACTCAGACTCTCCCGACGACAACGCCTGCGTAGCCTGGCTGACTGCGAACGCCTCGACCGTGTGGCCTCCGAAACGAACAACTCCTCCAGAGGTCGACGTCCTGAATAGGCTAGTCGTAGACGCCCAGTCGGCATCCGCGTCCACTCGCAGAACCTCTGGCAAGTCCTGGGGCTCATAGCACCACAGCAGCCTCGGTGCGCCCTCGTAGTACCTGCACAGGCGGTGCAGACGTGCGTTCATCAGGACGTTTGGCTTGCTGACGTGCTGCATAACCGTCTTGGAGCTGAACATAGCGTCAGGCCTGTCGCTCGAGACATACAGGCTCAGTCCCGCCGCCGACGAGGTCGACTTGGCCTCGGCCACGAGCAGTGGGTCCAGGGCATTCCTCATGCCTGCCCCCGTAGCCTTTGTTCCAGGGGTAGGCGCAGCCTTGGAGCCCGACTTGTGGCCCCAGCGGATGAGCTCCTCCACGTGCTTCGGATCAGCGCTCCAGTAGAAGCCTGGCATCCTGGTCTCGGGCAGCTCGCTCGTGTAGCCCACTATGCGCTTCAAGTAGTTCAGCTCACCAGGGTAACCTGGGCCTATGCTCTCGGACTCGGTGACCTCGAAGTTCGCCTCCAGGAAGTTGCCAATGGCGTCGAGGGTGTCGCGGTGGCCCTCCGCCAAGAAGTCATCACCGTGGCAGCACATCGTGGCGTCCATGCCGTCACCCACTAGGTTCTCGAAGTGGTAGGTGCCAGCTGTGCCCTTCAGCGGTTTGCCTCCCGCGTCGTCGATCGCTGCCTTGCTCGTCTCGCCCCAGAGCTGTGAGGCCTTCCTCGTCCCGTTCATCGCCTTGTGCAGAACCCAGCAGAAGCCTTTAGGACACAGCTCCCAGCCTGGATGCACGTAGACCAGCTCGTCCAAGTCCGCATTGAAGAACGCCTTGCGGACATCCCAAACACGCAGCAGCCGACGGCGCACGCCGTCAGCATCGGACTTGGACGCTGCGAGGGAGATGATCAGCCGGATGGCCATCAGCGGCGGCGTGCCCTGGCGGTTGTCCTCGCGGTGCTTGTCGTTCACCTCGGTCGCGACGAACCTCCAGCGCACCCTGTCGCCCTTCATGTGGGCGATCGGGAAGCCCCTGACGTGCTTCCCCCCTGGCTGGCACTGAGAGATGGGGATCTCCGAGTAGACACCGTACTCCCGCATCGCCTCCAGCTCGTCGCGCCTGCCCTCCTGGTAGAGCTCCTCGTCCAGCGGCTCGCCTGAGTAGTAGTCGTAGTGGACCATCTGCGGGCTCTCAACCTCGTCGTCCAGACCGTCCGCCCACATGCTGTACAGGCCCGCCACCACTGCGCTCGGGGCCTCCACGGCGCGCGCAGCGTGGATCAGGCACAGCCGACAGGCGCAGCCCCCACGGTGGTCAGCTCGAAGCGCACACCGTCCTCCATGTGATGGGCATCTGCCGTCGCATCGGCTCTCTGGCGTGGGGATCGGGTCCCAGACGGGGTCGTACTCCTCGGAGTCGTCCGCCTCGCAGACCGCGAGCTCACACACCGACAAGCCCGCGATGACGGTCACCTCAGGCCTGACACCAAGAAGCTCGATCCTCTGTCGCTTGCCGCCCTGGTCCTCGGACCCTGCAGCCTCGACCTGGTGCTTGCGAGTCGTGTCGTCCTTGGTGTCCATCGGCGTGTCGGGGATGTTCCCGACAGAGCTCCTGGGAGGTTGGTCTGCCGTGGCCTCCTGCACCTGCGCTCCTGGCCTCGGCGTGCCCGGCGCTCGGTCCTCAGGCTGCGAGCGCTGACTGGGACCAGGCGCACTCTCTGGCACGGGCGTGCCAGGCGCCACTCCTGGCGGCGCTGGTGTCGCTGGCGAGGCCCCCTCAGTCTTGAGCCTCCGCTCGAGCTCCTCCTGGACGATGTGCTCGAACCTCTGCCTGCAAGCGTCGGAGTGCTGTCCTCGTCCTGTGGAGCATTTGAGGCATTCTGAAGTCGGTCCATGTCTGTCAATCATCCTCTCTGTGATGTAGAGGCCCTTGGGCCTCGCAATCTCTTTGGCCCTAGCTGGCGCGGGGTCCCAGGGCGTCACGCTGATCTGCCTCAGCAGGTCCTCGGACCAGCGGAACTCCTCGGGCATGCGACGCACCGTGCGCACCTTGAGGAGCCCGCGCTGCAAGTCCACGACTAGGTGCTGGTCGTCGAACTCCGACTTGCCTACCCACACGCCTTTAGCAAAGCGGGCCTCGAACTTGCCCTGACCGCTGGCTACCCGCCCAGCGATCCTATACCAAACCTGCTCGCCGATCTCGGCGACTTCTCCATCATACTCCTTGCCAAAGAGAAACTTGTAGGAGGACCCTCCGTGCTCCCGCGGCTGGAATCGTGCGATGTACCAGCCGATCGCGTTCGTCACGAAGGGTAGGATCGGGTGGTCGGCGTCGATCGCGACTTCCAACCGCTTCTCCAGAGCGAACCTGAAGGTCCTCAAGAGGCCCGCTGCCAGAGAGTTGGCGCCTTCCACGCGCCCCATACTTTGATGAGAATGCGCAGCGGCTTTACGAACGATGGTGCCATGGCTCCGATGCTTCTTGACATCTTCGGCTATGGCCACGATAGCGGGTTCGCCATCAGTCAGTAGAACAACTGTGGTGTGACCCCACGAGTCGATCAGCTTTGCCACGTACAGAGTCTTGTATTGCCCAACCGTCTTGTTCGTCATCAGTGTGCCCATAGCATTCGACCTCCCGTCGACGATGTTCAGCACAGGGATCATCGCGCGCCTCTCGTCCCTGGGGATGCGCTTGGCCTCGACGAGCTTCACAACGAAGCCGTGGAGCATAGGGTACTTCTTAGCGATGCCGTCAGTAGCTGCGAAGAAGAAGTCCATCTCCACGATCGGCACCTGGTCCGCGTCGAGCTCAGGGCTGTCCTGCTGCTTCGGATGAGGTCGCTCACGGCCTCGCCCCATCACACACTCGGGGCACCAGGGCCTGAAGGGCAGGTGGTGTGCTGCATGGGCACGCCTCTCCTGCGCCGTCGGCTGCCCTGGTCTCGTGAGCTCCTTCGCTTTCAGGGTGACGTTCTCCGAGGGGTCTGGTCCAAGCACTCGAGGCAGAGCCGCAGACGAACTTGTCGGCACAGTCGTGGGTGCCAGCGTCTTGCGGGCTGCAGCCAAGATGCCCACGGACTCCTCCGACTCCTGCGGTCGTAGAGCAGCCATGACCTTGCTCTGCTCGGCGTTCTGGCCGTCCTTCAGCAGCTCGTCGAACTCCAAGTAGCAGGCCGAGCGCTCCTTCTTCAGCTTGATCACCTCGGCGCCGTCGGGCGGCAGCATCGGAGCATCC